TGTTTGTGATTCCTGTTTGCATAACAGCTACAAGCTCAGAAGCGGCTTCTTTTTTTTTTCAGTCTGTGTTGGATTATTAGTCACTGCTTTTCACTTGCCACAGAGCCAGGATGAGCTTTTATCAACAGAGAGTTGGGCTGCTCTGCTTCATGGGTGCAGCACATGCTATGGAGTACAATACAGGCAGCAGGTCAGGGGTAGCACTGCAAAACTAGCACCAAGAAGCTCTGCTAAGCCTGAGCTGACATGAAGTACCTCTGCACCACACTTACTGTTCTTCAGTAGCTAGAGAGGATACTAAATTAACATCTAACAGGGGTAAGCAACTTCAGTTAGTCTGATTAATTTGCATACAAGCTTGCTGAGAGAAAAGGAAGCTCCTTTTCTTTCCAAAGGGCTGGAAGACAGCAAGCACACCAACGTAGTGAAAGCGCAGAATTACTCTGATCTTGGTACATCAATGATCCTGCATCACTGCTAACCAAAGGGCTGGAAATGTCTTTGGGGGTCAACTGGTAGAGAAGTAGTGGGCAAGAATACAAAAGTGTTGTGGTTTAAGCCCTGCCAGTAACTCAGCACCAGCAGCTGCTCACTCACACCCTGGGCAGGATGGGGAGGAGAACAGAAAGAATGTAAACCCTATAGGTTAAGATAAGAACAGCCCAATAACTAAAGTATAATACAAAACTACTACTACTAATAATGATGAGGGAAATAACAAGGGGAGAAAATATAAAAGTAAAAAGGGAAAAAAACAAACAAACAAACGATAAACACAAGTGATGCACAATGCACAATGCAATTGCTCACCACCCACTGACTGATACCCAGGCCAACTGGAGCACTGATTGGTCCCTTCCAGTTTACATAGTGGGCATGACATGCTATGGTACGGAATGAATACCCCTTTGGCTAGTTTGGGTGAGATGTCCTGTCTCTGCTTCTTCCGGACTTCCCGTGCCCCTCTTTCCTGGCAGATCATGAGACTGAAAAGTCCTTGAGCAGGGTAATTGCTACTGAGCAACAACTAAAACATGGGTGTGTTACCAGCATTGTTCTTGGACTAAAGCTCAAACACAGTAGTGCACCAGCTACTGGGAAGGAGAAAGATAACTGTTACAGTTGAATGCAAGACAAAAAGAAAGTAATTTATACACATCAGCACAGTCTTATCAACAAGCAGGCTAGCAAACAAATCCCTAACTTCAGCCATTGAAGAAATCAGCAATATCTGCCTGCATTTATAGTTTAAATTGTTACACAGCAACTGGTTCATCAATTATGAGAAATAATTACTAATCAGCTGATATTTTTCTCACCAGGTTGCTCAAAACTTGCTTGTACATCACTTTGATCTACCTGTTACAAAACCCAGTCAGGTTATTTGAAGAAATTCTCCTTCCTAGAAAGAAGATTTCTTCATTCCAGGCCCACACTGAGCCTGGAATCCCTGTTTTGCTGCAAGATTTTGCTGGTTTATAACACCAGGTGGTTTTAACATTTAATGCCAAGAATTTGGGTACAATTTGACAGGATTTTGTTTACACTAAAGTGAGCATAAACCACCTTCTGCATGAACCATCCCTAAGGCTGCAACCATCCCACAGCCGTGTCTCTGCCAAGAGACTCTCCAGAAGAAAACAAGCTGCATGTAACACTGCCGTCCCCTTTCAGAAGCAAAGTTCCTCTTGTCTGTCAGTGACTTTTCTTGTGGCTGGTGCATTGATTATCCACCAAAACTGATGAAAAGCAAACCTACGTGCGAGGAGACTTCAGAGTACAGCATTTCCCCTTCCCAGTGGGCAGCCCTATGCAGTGACACTGTTCTACCCAGCTATGAAAAAGACCGAGCAGAGAAACAGCACAGAGTCACCCTCAGTACAGGTAACACAGTTGGTAACTATACAAGTTAACTATTTCGCTATAAATCACCCGGGAGTTATCAGGTTCGAGCCTTCCTATGTTCAGCCTCCGGCAGCGGAAGAGAGCTTGAAAACCGGTCAGGCCGTGCCCGGGCAGCCGCTCCAGGAGGGTCCCAATGAACCCTCACGCTGCTCCGCCACCGCCCTCTCCTCACCTTCTCCCCGCAGAGGCGTTTGACAGCGGCCCCGTACCCGCCTCATGCCCAAGGCGGGCAGTGGAGCCCCCGGCTGAAGCCAGCCCGGCAGCTACCGGCTTAAACCTCTGCGCCCGTCACTGTGGAAACTAATGGGCTACGGAAGAGCGAAGGGGACAAAAATCTTGTGGCGCGATCGGACTGCTCCAAGGATTGGGGCCGGGGGAAGCGAGAGCTGTCACCCTAGAAACCTGGCTGTGGATTCCTCGCTGCGCCCGCAGGCTCTGAGACCGGGGCCCTGCGGGCGCAGCGAGGGACCCCCACCCGGAGTAGACCTGGCCACCACATCCGAGGTATACCTGACCACTGCACGCTCCAGCCTTCTGTGGAGAGATGCGTTGCTTGGGGGGTAGTCAGGGGATTTACATGCGAAAGGGCTTTCCCACTGGGTAAATTTGAATTTGAAAAAACCTGCACCATGCCTCCATCCCAACCTTTCACCCCTGAGGGAGGTGGTGAAGCCTTCTGGGAATTAGGAAGGCCTGAGGGACCCCTTGGGAGGAGCAGGGGGTGTCTCTGTTTCCCCCCAGAGCCAGCTGTGAAGTGTTGCGGGTGATGCTGGCTCTGTTTTTATGAAAACACTCAAGATTTTGCGGGTGGAGCTGTTGGAACAAGTCCAGAGGAGGCCACGGAGGTGCTGTGAGGGCTGGAGCAGCTCTGCTCTGGAGACAGGCTGAGAGAGCTGGGCTGGTTCAGCCTGGAAAAGAGAAGGCTCCTTAAGGGGAGACCTTAGAGCAGCTCCAGTGCCTAAAGGGGATACAAGAAACCTGGAGAGGGGCTTTGGACAAGGGCCTGTAGGGACAGGACAAGGGGGAATGGCTTTAACCTGACAGAGGGGAAACTGAGATGAGATCTTAGGCAGAAGTTCTTCCCTGTGAGGGTGCTGAGGCGCTGGCACAGGTTGCCCAGAGAAGCTGTGGCTGCCCCATCCCTGGCAGTGTTCAAGGCCAGGTTGGACACAGGGGCTTGGGGCAACCTGGTCTAGTGGAAGGTGTCCCTGTCCGTGGCAGGGGACTGGAACTGGATGAGATTTGAGGTCCCTTCCAACACAAATCAGTCTGGGATTTTGTGACTTTGAAGGTGCCCGGGTCTGGGAGGCTCTGGGAGCAGGCAGTGGAAGGACTGGCAGCTGGCTGTGAGCTGGAGCCAGCCATCCCACTCCCTGGAAGCTGTTAGGGAAATCCCCTTTCCTAACTATTATATCAACCAGTCTTTGTAGTTAATACATATATTCAAATTATACAGTGCAATGTAACAGAGTAGTGGAATTTTCCTGAAGACTCTGTTATAGTTCATGCTTAAGTAAAACAGATGAAAGCACAGCCCGGCACTGGAAATAAGGACTTTGCTTCATAGAAGTGGTCCTTGAAGGATAAAGGGTACCCTAGGTCAGCCAATAAAATACCAGCATCCCAACCACTCTGACACAGCTTCAAAACCCTCCCAGCATCATCTGGCATCACTGTAACCCCAGCAAAACTCCAGGGACATCTGGATCAACAAGAAAGCAGCAGGATTGCTGGAAAAATATCACTTCTTTGCAAAGTTGTACTGTGATTAGTACCTGTAATGTGAGTGACTGCAAGTTGTCTTGTACCTGAAGGTTTGATGGTTACAGAAAACCTGTGCAAAACCACCTTTGTGGTGCCCAGTTTGTGCAGGAATAAATATTTATCCTTGGAGTTCTCTACTCTGCATCCAGGCTCAGTCCTCAGCTGGCACAGGCCAGCCCTGCAAGCCTCTCCTGCAGCAAAGCAGCGGTGCCAATCCTGGGCGCTGGCAACCAGAGCTGGTGGCAGTGCGGCCACAGGTGCATAAGGACTTCTTTATGAGCCTCCTGCTGTCTGTGCACAGCGGCTGCTTTGTGCGAGGGGCCAGCCAGACACTCACCTCAGAAGGTCTCTGCGTGAGGAGGGAAGGGTGTCCTGAGGGCAGCATGTCCTTCACTTGCTGTCCCCAAAGGCCCTCATCACCTTTTCAACCTCCAGCTGCTGGAGGCTCTCCCTGTGCATTGGTCTGGCCGTGCTGGTATGGCAGGGGGTGCCCATGGAGTGTGGGCGGCTGCATCTCTTGTGTCCTAGCTGCCCACACCCCCTGAGTCAGGAGCAGGGGAGCAGCTCAAGTGCTCAGTGAGCTGCAGGGCTCACATGCCCATATGGTCAGCTCCTGTTGGAGCAGTTGCAGAGGGAAGTCTCCTAGCCACAGGGAAGCGTGGCCTGAAGGAAGCGTGCCCCCCAGTCACCATCCCCTCCTTGCCTGGAGTGAGGGTGTCCCACAGCGCTTTCCTGGTACCCGCCAAAGGGGCTGGTGATGAACCTTGGCTGTGCAGGACATGCAGGGCAGCATGTGCAACCCATCTCTCAGTCCTGCACTGGAGGGATCTTCAATGTGGCCCCCAACAACACTGGTGCTGGGAGGAACATGAACACTGCATGACCACATGATACTGGCACCCTGAGATCTGCAAGGGCACCCTGCTGTGACCATGACCCCAGCTCTCCCCAGAAGCCTTGCACCAGGAGCATGGGGCTGCTCCCATGCAGCAAGCAGAGCAAGGAAGACACCCTTCCTAAGGACACTTTTCTTTTATTAGATTTATTAGAGGATACAAGGAGCTGGACCATGTCACTTGCTGCCAGCTCTCTCTGTCAAGTCCCCTGGTGTGCCAGGGGTGCTGGCAGAGACAAGCATCCCCAGAGTGGTCCCCCATTGCCCACAGGGCTTTCCCTGTAGCCTTTTTGACAGGTTTTGCTGTGGTGGCTTTGTCGAACCAGCCTTGAGCAAGCATTACAGGAGAGGGATGTCTCTCATGGGACAAGAACTGGGAACACTGAGCTGAACCCGCTTCATCACTTCCTGGGAGAAACCCTGGCTTGGCCCCACAACTGCCTCCAAATGAGGTCAAAACTCATGTGGGGACACAAAGGCTGTGACCTTGAAGACATGCTTGCCCAGGAGGGCCTTGTGGAAGAACTCGTTCATCTCCAGTTCCACCTCCAGTGTGGCTGGTCCCACCACGGGGCTGGTGTTCACCAGCTCTCCTGCCTGATGGTGGGAGCGCCTCACAGCAAAGACACCCGGCCCTGGCCACCAGTGATGGCAAAGCGCAGGCTGTCACCCACAAAGCGGCTGGTGGTCATCTTGAAGAGCATGTGGGGCACAGTGTGGTTGGCCCGGAGCGGCAGGTAGTGGAAGGAGATGGAGGTAGGGGCCAGGCGGCAGGCTCAGCTCTCTATGGAGCACGGGTTCCTGTCGCACTGGCTGCCAGGAGAGAAGGGGAACTGCTGCTCAGTGCCGTGCTTTGGCTCTCAGGGAGCTGCCTGCATCCTTGCCAATTAGCCTAGCCCATGCCACAAGCTGGGCAGAGCAACCCAAGACAGTCACATCTAAGTGTGCCCAGCATCGGATCTCTGTCCCACCCTGCCTCTACCAGGCAAATGCCATGCCTTGCAGGGATGCAGCTCTGGGTCAAACTCTGAGGCTGGGAATAGGGGTACCACAGTCCCAGCTGGACATCAGAGATGAAGCCAGGCTCAAATGTACAGGATGTCCCTCCTCATTGCAAGGGGTTGGACTAGATGCCCTTTGGAGGTCCCTTCCAACCCAAACTGTTCTCTGATTCTATGAGCAGGAGCTAGGATGCTCCTCTGATTGGGTGGCTTGTGCTCAGCCACAAAGCAATTCAGCCTCAAGAATGGGGCCAGGGGCTTGTTGCCTGCTGAATGACAGCTGACAGCACTGCATGGATGTGTAGCATGGCAGCATCTGCAAGCTGGGGCTCTTGGGGGATAGGATGTTGGATAAAGCCACCATGTATTGGAGTGCTCCCATCTTCACCTGCAGCCACCAATGGGGAGCGTGCCAACCACACCCAGGCAATTTGCCACACAATCTGGTCCCCTGGACCACAGGACCCATCACCAGGGGTGATGGCACAGCCCAACCCACACACAGTACTCACAAGGCAGAGGTCTTGACATAGCTGGTGTTGTGGCGTGGTGGGGGGCACTTGGGGTGCACACAGCAGTGGCCCCCAAAGGTGTTGATGCAGACGTCTCCCTGAGTGCAGTTGTGCTGCTTCCCAGTGCACTCACTCACATCTGCAATGGTGGCATGGGGTGAGCAGGGCTGCCCCAATGGTCCCGTGGGATGCTCCCTCCCCTGCTCCTACCACTCTTACCCTCACAGGCATTGCGGTCAGCATGGAGGAGGTAACCATGTGGGCAGAGGCAGTGGTAGGAGCCGTGGAGGTTGAGGCACTCATGGAGGAAAAGCCGGATCTGGGGAATGGACTGGAAGAGCTGGCACTCATCCATGTCTGGAGGGGCTCAGAGTGGGGTCCCATTATGGCCAAGCCTTGGTTTTCCCACCTCCCCACCATCCTTATCCCTGTTTTACCATGGCACAGGCCGTTGTCTCGCATCTGGAAGCCGGGGTCGCAGCTGCAGTGCCGGGAGCCTGGGTGGCCTTTGGCACAGCAGGGCTGGCAGCTGAAGGAGGCATTGCTCAGTGTCACCCAGTCTGCAGTGGAAACGGGTGTCACTGCTGGGCATGGAGAATGGGGAGATGCTGGGGGCTGAGGTCCCAGGGGGCTGCCCAGGAAGGGGGAGATGAGCGCAGCATGGTCCCCATGAGCATCTTCATCCTCTGCAGCCCAAACCTGGACACCTACAGGAGTAGATGGGGCTCTGGCAGCTGGGGCCTGACCAGCCCCGGGGGCAGAGGCACGTGTAGCTCTGGTTGCCATCCACACAGGTCCCGCTGTTAGCACATGGGTTGCTGGAGCAGTTGTCAATGCCTAGGGAGAAGGAATTCATGAACACCAGCTGGAGAAGCTCATCTTTGCTCCATCCTGCTGCTCATTGCTGCAGCCTCTGGGCTGCTTTCCCTGCAGTCAGGTGAGCAAAACAATGGGACCCCATGGCTTGGGGTGACAGAGGAGCCCCCAGGCAGGGCTAAGCCTCTGGCACCCTGACCACACTCCACCTTTGCAGGAGGGCTGGGTGCTGCTCCATGTGTGGTCCTGCTGGCACACGCACATCTTGGAGCCCACCAGCAGGAAACCAGCATCACAGACAAAGTGAATGTCTTGGCCCATCTGCATGCTCCAGCCCAGCACCAGTCCGTTCAGGGACACCACCAGCTGTGGACAGGTCTCTGCAGACAGACAGACACGGGGGAGGATGGACATTGCCAAGCTGGAGCTGACCCTATCCCCAGTGAGGAGCTGGGGTCCTTTGCCCAGGTTGCTTGCTGGCGATACAGGGGTCAGAGCTGGTGTCATGGGGACACCACCCCCCTACCAGTGTCCAGGCTGGGGTTACCGTTATGTTTGGTGGCTGATCTCTGGAGGCTGCTCTGGAGGACAAGGAGCTGCTGCCAGAGGCTGCGCATGCCGCAGCTGGGCAGCCTCCTATGCTGCCAGCAGCCTCTGCATCTGCCGCACTGTGCTGAGTGCCTGCTGCTGGCTCAAGCACTCCTGGGGGGGACACAAAGACATCCCCGTCACTGGGTGCCACCACCATCCTGCAGCAGTGTAGGGGTACTCTCTCAAGCAGCAGCATCTTTGGGATTTGTTTGGATGCAGAGCCCCTTCCTCCCCATCCCACTAGTGGGTCTGCCCCTGCCCCTGTGTCTTCTCCAGCCTCAGACGCTCTGTCTCAGCGCTTGAGTGCTGAGCAGCAGCTCAGAAGCTCTGGGTGGGTTTAGCATCGTCTTGCTGCAGCAGGTGAAAAGCCCCACTATCATCCCTCCCCAGCCCTGGGCAGCCCCATGGGTGCCGTGGCCATGCCATACCCTTCACCCCGGGGTGGTGACAGGGAGCTGTGGTGTCAGAGGTGGGTGCTGAGAAGCCCCCAGCCTGCAAGGGAGCTGGCAGGGGACAGGAGGGTCCTTACCTGGGCACTGCCAAGGGGCAGCTGCAGGATGCCCATGGCCAGCCAGGCTGGCAGCAGGACGAGGAGCATCATGCTGGGCTGGATGAGATGAAGCTCTGTCGGTGTGGCTCTGCCACGCTCCTGTGCTCGCTGGGATTTATCCGCAGCGCGTGCCCGGGTGTTTGTTGGTTTTTGCCCTGGCCAAGGCCAAGACGCAGGAAAATTTCCCTTTGGCACTGGCACCAGCCTCTTCCTTGCCTTCCCTCTCCGCACATCAGAGGCTTTGGGGCCTTTCATGTCACAGGGCTAGCAGATGCCAGGGCCAGGCAGTGGCTGTCACAGCACTTGCCGCTATGCCGGTGGTGCTGGGCTCACCCTACGGCCAGCCGCAGCTCTGGGGGTGCCTGCACGCAGGGCTGCAGGCGGAGGCTAATCAGAGCGTTTACTAGATGTGGGGAAATCTCCAGGAGAAGGGGTGGATTTGGGATCAGTGGTGGGATCTGACTCTCCAGTGCGGCTGGGGATGCTGAGGACGGGAGCTGGGCAGAACCAAGGACTCACCGGCCTCGGTATGGTTTTGCTGAGCTCAGCCATGGCTGGAGCTTAGAGGGGGACACCAGGGCTCTGCTGCAGCCTAGAGTTGGAGCGCAGGTTGGCATTACAGTCAGCATTAACATTAGGGTCAGGGTTAATGTGAGGGTCAGCATTAGGGTTAGGGTTGGGCTTAGGGTTAGGATTACAATTAGGGTTAGGTCTAGAGCTAGGGTTGGGGTTATATTTAGGGTTAGGGTGGAATCTAGCATTAGGATTAGGACTGGGGTTAGGGTTAGCATTAGACTCACAGTTAGGGTTAAGTTCAGGTGTGGTGTTAAGGTTAGGTTTAAGGCTAGGTTTGTGGCCAGTGCAAAATGTTCAGGTCCAGATGTAGAGAAAGTCTGGACGAGGTTTGGTGTTGTTATTAGCATGATGGTTGGGTTTTCAGGCCACGGTTAGGTTTAGGTTCATCCTGAGCATGGTGAGACAACTGATGTATTCAGTGCTGATGTATTCAGGACTCTGCTGACATCCAACTTACCTCCAATAGCAGGCGGTGGGATGCTCCAAGTCCCTCCCACCCACAGCAGCATATGCCTGTTCCCCAACTACCCCCAGCAGGGATGTCTGAACCCCACACATCTGCCCCATGCAATGGCAGCATCCATCATGGGCACTGGGATCCCCACCCTGGGGTAGAGCCATATGGGTGCTAATGAGACCCCCTGGCAATGTGGGTTCTGGGACCCTTGCCTGATCCCCGGTGCTGATGAGACATGTCCCCCCCTGAGCCCAGCACTTGTCCTGCTGCTAGTCCCCAGCCATTGCATCCTCCCAGCCTGTATCTGTGCTGCCCAGCTGTCCAGAGCCGGTATTTGGCTTCCTGCCGCAGTGGTGTGTTACCTCCCAACATGTTTAATTCATGGGGCAGGAGGAAGGCTGGCAGCAGGGTCCCTGAGCTGCTTTCATCCCCTTGTCATCCACTCTCCCAGCACCCAGAGTGGTGCTGCTTGGGATCCCAGCTCCCACTTGTCTTCCCATCCTAACCCTGGCTTGGCGGTGGGGCTGGGGCAGAGCAAGGCTTCTGACCCCGGTGCAGGGCATCCCAGCGGGGCTGCAGCCCAGGCCCTGGGAGCTGTCTGCTGCATTTGCACCAGTGAGCAACTGTTTTGACAGAGCTATTACTCACCCGTCAAGCTTTTGTTTGAGCTGACCAGTGGTGCCTGTCTGAGTCCTGAATAGGATCAAATCCTGCAACCAGACACACACACAAGCACGCAAGAGCACACAAGACCACGCAGCCGAGCTCAGCTCCACACCAGGGCCGCTGCAGGGTGACTCGTCTCTGCCAGATCCTCCCTTTGGAGCTGTGGGGTCTGGTTCCCCACAACGCAGGCACCTGCATGAAGTTCCTGGTGCTGCTGGTTTGCAGCCTCCTGGCATGGAGGGTGGGTGAGACATGGTCGGATGCTCCGGAAAAGTTGTCTGCGTTGGCTCCTGGAGGTAATCTGGATAGAGGTTGGGGATGGCAGATTTAAGGGTGCACTCTGAGCACTGTCCCCTAAACCAGGCCAGACAGGCAGGGGGCCAGGTGGGTAATAGGAACCCTGGGGTGGCAACAGGGGTCTTGGTGGGTGATGAGGGCTGGAATGGGATGGGGCTGGAAGTGGGGGGCATGAGGCTGGTGATGGGATGGGGCTGGGAGGCTGGGCTGGTGCTGCGGGCTGATAATGGGGGCTAGTGATGGGTGCAGCCTGGTGGAGCCTGGGTGCTGGCAGGACAGAGGGGGTGGTGGGAACTGGGTACATTCCTAATAGACTCAGCCCACCCATGTGAGACGGGGGCTCAGTAGGCTGGACCCCCCTGGCCCCTTCCCCTTTTGTGCTCCCAGCCCAAAAGCGCTTTCTTCTCTCCCGTTGAGTTTCCATGGAGACCCGGGTGCCTTCCCCGTATCCCTGGCTGCGGCCGATGGCAGGATCCTTCTGGGGGCCTTGGAAGCAGCCATCGGGCACACCAGAGGATACAGGGAAGGCACTTGCACCACACAGTGCCTCAGCCCCAGCCCCTGCTGTCATCCCTCCCAGCTCTCAGCGTGAAGGAGACCTTCCTGGTGCTCTCGCTTCACAACAAGCTGAGAAGCAAAGTGCAGCCCCCCGCCGCCAACATGCAAAAGCTGGTGAGCCCCCCCACAGGCATGTGTCTCCCCCTTGGATGTCCCCATCCACCTCCCACAGCATTCCCAGGGAGGGGGGCAGCCCATGGGTGCTATGCAGTAGCTCATTAACAAGCTAACAGAGCAGAAGAGCTGGCCAGCGTGGGGCTGGCCCCTGGCCCTGCCAGATCTGGTGCAAACCAAAGACAGAGCTGGTGCCTTGGGGTCCCTATGGGGTCCCCCATGTCCCATAATGGCCCTCAGAGTCCCCTAGTCATCTCACGCCTACACACACCAAGGGAACGGCTGGTTCCCTGGAGTGTTCTCCGTGTCCGACGATGGTCCTTGATGTTTCCCAGTCACCCCACACCTGCATATACCAACGGCAGGGCTGGTCCCCTGGAGTTCCCTCGCAGCATCCCCCATGTTCAACCTCCTGATGTCCCTCAGCGATCCCCAGCATTAACACCCTTGGTGGTCCCCAGACACCCGCTGGGCTGTCCCGCAGCTTCCCCCCCCCCCCACTGGGCCCGTCCCTGGGGACCTCAGTGGCTCACGCTCCCCCATGCAGGAATGGGACGAGGAGCTGGCCCGGCTGGCAGGCGAGCGGGCAGCCAGCTGCCTGCAAGGCCCCGCTCCGCCGCCGGCGCCGCAGCTGGGTTGGAGCGAGGTGCTGCTGCCGGTGGCCACCGGCGGCTTCGGGGTCGTGCTGGAGCGCTGGTTCGCCGAGGGCCGACGCTACGACTACGGGACGGGGCGCTGCGCCCGCAATGCCACCTGCCACCATTACACCCAGGTGGGCGCGGGAACGTGGGGGGGGTCCGGAGGCTGCCGGACCGGGGTGACACCCCTCTCCCGCAGCTGGTGTGGGCAACAGCGGGGCGGCTGGGCTGCGGCCGCTGCCTCTGTGCCGGCGGGCACGGCCCCAGCGAGGCCTTCGCCTGCGCCTACTCCCCAGGGTAAGCGCTGAGCGCGGGAAAGAGCGGGGGCACGCACAGCCGTGAACGGGGCCGCGCGGGCAGCGGGGGCGGCGGGCCCAGGGGGAAGGAGGTGGGACGGTGCCGCTGGGGGCTGGCCAATGGGGATGCACGGGGATAGGCGGGGGCGTGACCTCGCGTCGGAGGTGGGCGTTACTTGGCTGTGCGGGCGGAGCTTGCTTGGGTTGTGGGCGTGGTCTTTGCCATAAAGGGGTATTGGTTGACGGAGTGGGCGTGGGGTTCTAGGGAGTGGGCGTGGTCAGGGTTTGCCCTGGTGGGGGCGTGTCTTGGTGGCTGTGAGCGTGGTTTAGTCCGGAAAGGCGCGCTCCAGCTGCCTGCGGGGATAGGGGCAACTGGGAGGTGTCGGGGACGCCCGTCCTGCCCTACAAGCAGGGCCCCTGGTGCTCCCTCTGCACCGCCGGCCTCTCCGGATGCTTCAAGTCCTGGGACCACAGCGGCGGGCTCTGTGGTGAGAACCCGCGGCCGGTCCCACACCCCAGCCCCTGCGTGCCCTCCAGAGACACCGCACGCCTTGATACTCATGTCTGTGCCATGCCCAGAGGTGCCCAGGAACCCTTGTCGGATGAGCTGCAGAAACAATGGGCGCCTTGACGTGGGCAGCTGCCAGTGCGCCTGTCCCTCGGGATACACGGGAAGGTACTGCCAAGGTGAGAGAGGCGCCCGCACAACCCCTGCCTTCCCTCGCCTTAGAAACACGTGTATGGCCAGTGCAGAACATGTGTGCACAGGGTGGGTGCAGTGCGTGTGTGTGCAGTGTCAGTGCAGGGCATGGGCATGATCTGAGGGCTGGAGCAGCTCTTCTGGAGACAGGCTGAGAGAGCTGGGCTTGTTCAGCCTGGAGAACAGAACACGCCTTAAGGGGAGACCTTAGAGCAGCTCCAGTGCCTAAAGGGGCTACAAGAAACCTGGAGGGAGGCTTTGGACAAGGGCCTGTAGGGACAGCACAAGGGGAATGGCTTTAACCTGACAGAGGGGAGACTGAGATGAGATCATGGGAAGAAGTTCTTTCCTGTGAAGATGGTGAGGCCCTGGCACAGGTTGCCCAGAGAAGCTGTGGCTGCCCCATCCCTGGCAGTGTTCAAGGCCAGGTTGGACACAGGGGCTTGGAGCAACCTGGTCTATTGGAAGGTGTCCCTGTCCATGACAGGGGGTTGGAACTGGATGAGCTTTGAGGCCCCTTCCAGCCCAAACCAGTCCAGGATTTTGTGGCCAGCACAGCAGTCATAGTCTGCTTGGTGCCCACAGTTACACAATTGTGCAGCACAAACATGCACTGGCTCAGCTCAGTGCAGCATCTGCTGTGCAGAACAAGCTCAGCTGGGATAGGCAGGGGCTGCTGAGCCCCCACCAGCTAGCACAGCTCTTCTCCTGCAGTGAGGTGCAGCAGGCAGTGCCTCCATGGCAAGTTCAGGAAGGAGGAATGCTCCTGTCTCTGCGATGTGGGCTATGGCGGCGCTGAGTGCGGCAGTGAGTCTATGCTGTGGGGTGGCAGCAGGGATCTGCAGGCTGGGACCCCCGGAGCAGGCTATGGGTCCTCTGGCAGGGCCACTGGCACAGGGACCCACCTTCTGCCTGTGTCCCCAGCAAAGATTCAGTTCCCCTTCCACGCCTGTGACGTGCAGATAGATGGCGACTGTTTCATGGTGTCCTCTGAGGCTGACACCTATTACGGAGCCAAACTAAAGTGCCGGGTGAGTCCCTGGGATGCACCAGCTGAACGATGCCATCAAGCTCACAGCTCCCATGAACCTTTCCACTGCCTGGGTCATGTGTCTGGGGCTGACTTGCTCCCTTCCCTGCAGGAGAAAGGGGCGATGTTGGCCCAGATCAGAAACCAGAAGGTCCAGGACATCCTGGCTTTCTACCTCAGCCGCTTAGAGACCGGTAACAGGGTGACAGACACTGATTTTGAGACTGGGAACTTCTGGATTGGTAAGTGATGGCAGTGGGCAGGGTGCAGGGTACATGGGGTCCTGGTGGATGTGCCACCCCACCTCCTGCTCCTCCAGGCCTCACCTACAAGACGTCTAAGGCTTCCTTCCGCTGGAACGTGGGTGAGCCGTCCTCCTTCACCAGCTTCGCTTTTGGGCAGCCAGACAACCAAGGGTAAGTTCCTGCTAGACCTGCAGGACACCAGACTTCTGTGTGGTGTCACCATCGTGCCACCGTGGTGGCTGGCTTCACACACACCTCCTCCCCATGCACATGTGGACACAGGTTCGGGAACTGTGTGGAGATGCAAGCATTGGCTGCCTTCAACTGGAACGACCAGCGCTGCAAGACCCGGAACCGGTACATCTGCCAGTTCGGTGAGTGAGTGGCTAGAAGCCCTCCTGCACCTTCCCTGGGTGCTGAGCCCCAGGGGTGCAGGCTCCTGGCTCTGCAGGGTCTGTTCCCTGCTACCAGCCCTGCTCACACCTCTGAGTCCTTCCTGGTGTGAGGGACACTGACTGATATCCCATCACAGCCCAGGAGCACATCTCCCTGTGGCAGCAAGACCCCTGAGCCAGCAGCTCCAGGCCCTGGCCAGCGCTGGCTGCTGCACTGAGCCCGTGGCTCAGGATGACCCCAGTCCTGTGCCAAGCCCAGGCCATGAAGGCCCCCTTTCTGGCTCCCCCGCACAGGAGATGGGGGACTGACGGGACCTAGTGTATCCACTTTACATCAGTGTCCCCAAAACTACATTGTCTTCTCCCCCTCACCTTCCTGTTGCCATCACGCTGTGAATGCCCTGTGGGCAGGGAGATACCAGGTGCAACAGCATCCTTCTTCTCAGTTGGTAGCCAGGACATGTCCAAACCTTGGTGCAAATGCCATAAGGGGCCAAGGGGGGAATTCTTAGTGGGCACAAACCTCAGCATGTCTCAGGGTGGGGACTGGCTCAGCTCTCACACTGGGAGCCGCCCCAGCCTGACACCGCAGGTTCCTGGTCATGATCTTGTCTTTCATTATCACCCAGTTCCTCACCATCACTTGAGTGGTTAATAAAGACCTCTTCTTTGGGAAGAGCAGTTTGTCTTCTTCTCTTGTCCCAGATCCACCAGTCTCTCTGTCTACGACAGCCCACATCCTGCCTGCACAGGGTGGTACCTCTAGTTCCACCTGTGGATGAATGGAGCTGGAGGATGGAGGAGCATAGACCAGCTCTTCTTGGCTGGGCTCATGTCTCCAGCACCTTGGAGGTGTTTTGGGGGTGGAGTTAGTCAAGAGCTGTTTCTTCCAGCCCCAGGCTGCAGCACCCCATATGCTGGCCCAAAGTGTGTTCCCCTGGTGCTGGTGGGTGTTGTTGAAGGGGACGAGCCTCATCACCATCTGTAAGGCTGGAGGGAGCTGGTCAAAGCTGGGTACAACTGAGCCAGGAGGGCAAGAGTCCAGCATGTCAGAGGGGGCTGGAGGTCCCAGGTGGGGTAAAGAGCCCAGGGAGGATGGGGATGAGGACAGGGCCAGGGTCAGGGAAGGATGGAGCCAGGGATGTGGGCAAGGACAGGGATGGAGTGGGGTCAGGGATGGACTGAGGGTGGGGATGGGAATAGGGATGAGGAGGGGATGAGGATGGGATGGGAATGAGGATCGTAAGGATGGGGATGGGGACGAGGATGGAGATGAGGATGGAGACAGGGATGGGGTCAGGAATGTGGATAGGGGTAAGGACAGGATGTGGATGGGGATTAGGAGGGGGGTGAAATGGGGATAAGGAGAGGGTCGAGGATGGGGATGAAGATGGGGATAATGAGGGGATGAGGGTGAGGATGGGGACAGGAACGGGGATGGGATGAGAAGGAGGATGAAGACGAGGATGAGGGTGAAGATGGGGATGAGGATGGATGTGAGGATGGGGACAGAGAGGCACGGTGCTGCAACAAAGCCTCGCTGCGCAAGGGGTGGGGCGTGGTCTCCTCCCCTTTCCCCTACCCCGCCGTGTCGGGGTGGTGCGGCCCGCGTCCCCCTGCCCGCCCCCGGAGGTGGTAGGGCCCGCTCGGTGGCGGCGAGCTCAGTCCGGTGCCGGTACCGGGTCCGCGGGGGGATGACCCTTTTCGGCAGCGGGGACGCGGGCTGGAGATGTGAGTACCGACCCAGAGCCGGCCCTGCACCCCCTCCGCCGGGTGACGCCCCCGGCACCGGCCCTATTCACACACCCCTTCCCGGGGGATGCTCCGGCACCGGCATGCTCGCCGGCAGCCCAGCCCGGAGCAGGGGTGTCGCCCCGCAGCCAATCTCCTGCTGCACGTTCGTCCCCCCAGCCCACAGCCCTCCTCCGGGCAGGGCCATGGCCGGTGCCGGGGTCCCTTTTCGCGGACACGCGCCTCCTCCGGGTACCAAGCAGCCCCCACCCAGGTACCAGTGCCTCCCCAGGGCTGGGATATCCTCCCGGTACCGGCATGCTTAGTCTTCCCCATGCCATTACTCCCAGGACAGGGATGTCCTCCCAGTGCCGGGATGACCCTGACACCATTCCCTCCCAGGACAGGGATGTCCTCCCAGTAGCAGAATGTCCCTCTGCCACTACAGTGAAAGGAGCCCAGACACAGGCCCATGCCCCTGGGGTGACGAAGCCCTGTTGTCCCAGGTCCCCTGCCCCAGCAGGACAGCGCCCTCTGTGCAGGTGGCCTGTGCCAGTGTCCCTGGGGTCCCTGGCTGGGGTGCTGAGCTCTCTGTCGCACTGGCAGGGAGGGGAGCAGGGGGTTCTGCTGGATGGATGCGATGGGCTGTAGAGAGGGGTGTCACCAGCAGCAAGCTTCGCCTCCCTGGGGTGCTGGGGACAGAAATGGGTGCCAGCATTACAGGGTAAATGGAGCACCTTCCCCAGCTCACCCCAGGGCAGAGCTGGCCCCCGGACCTCATCACAAAAGGCACAGACATGGGTATCAAGGTGTGCGGTGTCTCTGGAGGGCACGCAGGGGCTGGGGTGTGGGACTGGCTGTGGGTTCTCACCACAGACCTGGAAAGCACACAAGTGCCAGCTTCTTACAGCTTGGAAGCCCACTCCTCAGCAGGGATTGAAGGGATTTTGCTCCGACAGATGCAGGGTTTGAGAGGACCCGTGGCCAGTGTGCATGCTCCTGGGGCAGTCTGGAGCTCTCTGAGGAGCTGGTGTGTTCCCAGAGGACCCAAGAAGCTTCAGCTCGGGGTTCCTGGTGCAGTGGTATCTGCACTGTCAGTGGTGCCTCACACTTACCGTGGCCAAGGGGGAGTGTGCAAGAGGGAGCCCTCAGCATCTTACCCACTGTCTCGTACCCCAGAGATCAGAGATGTTTTTGAGCCCCCCAAATAATTAAGTATGTGGAGATGTTAGCAAAGCATTTCTTGAGGTGGCTCTTAAATGTATACTCAGAAAATAGACTAAAGCTGGCTTTTATCATAGGATCAGCCAGGTCGGAAAAGACCTTCAAGATTATCAAGTCCAACTGTTCCCCAGCACTGCCAAGGCCACCACTAAACCATGCCACTGAGGGCCTCGCCTACACAGTTTGTGAACACTTCCAGGGATGGTGATTCCACCACTGCCCTGGGCAGCCTGTTCCAATGCCTGAGCACTCTTCTGGGGAGAAACTGTTCCTAACATCCAGTCTAAACCTCCCTGTTGCAGCTTATATTGGTGCTGGCTGTAAAATCCCAGAGAAGGTGTGAAGAGCATCACTGGGGAGGTGTGATGTGCATGTCTGGAGACATCATCTGCGTCTCGGCATCATAGATGTCCTGGGAGTGGGATGCAGCTGGGAGCGGGGCTCCCTCCATCCCTGACACCCATCCATGGTGGGCAGAGCTCACCAGCATCCTGAGGCTCCTGGAAACATGGCCCAACCACCCAGAAAGCAATTGGAAAAGCAGATTCACCACGGTGGTGGTGGTGGGAAACACCAGAGGTGTTTTCTGCTGCCCTGATTGGAGCTGTGATGGGTGCAGGCTCCTGGGGATGGGGCTGCTGCAGGGACAGCCAGAGCTGCTCCATGTCCTGACACAACCCTGGGCCACTCCTATCCTCCACAAAAACTTAAATCTAGAAAGAACTGACATCTTCTAGCTCATCCTGCAGATCATAGAATCACAGAATGGTTTGGGTTGGAAGCTCATCCAGTTTCAACCCCCTGCCATGGGCAAGGACACCTTTCCTTAGACCAGGTTGCTACAAGCCCCTTCCAGCCTGGCCTTGAACACTGCCAGGGATGGGGCAGCCACAGCTTCTCTGGGCAACCTGTGCCAGGGCCTGAGCACCCTCACAGGGAAGAACTTCTTCCTTGTATCTAACCTTAATCTTCCCTGTCTCAGTTTAAACCCATTGCTCCTTGTCCTATCTCTATAGTCCCTGATGAAGAGTCCCTCTCCAGCATCCTTGTAGGCCCCCTTCAGATACTGGAAGGCCACTATGAGGTTCCCATGCAGCTTCTGTTATCCAGGCTGAACAGCCCCAACTCTCTCAGCCTGTCTTCATACGGGAGGTGCTCCTGCCCCTGATCATCCTTGTGGCCCTCCTCTGGACTTCCTCCAGCAGCTCCATGTCCTTCTTACGCTGAGGACACAAGAACTGCACACAGTGGTTCATGCTCTGGAGTGGGACATCTCCAGCTGGGAAAGGAGTGTAGCTCATGAAGCCAGTGTGGGGTAGGGTGTTGACATCATTTTTCTTCCCACTGGTCATCCTGCTCTTTTGTCTTTCCTCAGATCTGGACATGGCCAGAGAGCCCAAGCCAAGCCGGGCCAGGGTGGGCCAGAAGCGGCAGCATGGCAGCAGCCTGTACCAGTAAGTGCAAGGGCTGGGGTCTGTCCCATCCTGCTCCTCTTCCTCCCCTGTTCTTGATCACTCCAAACCTAGCCTGTATGTGGTGGTGGACACGGGTCTGCAGGATGTCTCTGCCTCATCCTGATGGGGCCTGGACACACTGGTGGTGGCTGAAGCCTTTGCTGGTTGCCATCCATGGGATATAGAGGTCCCTCTTCCCCATCTGAAGGTGCCGGGAGAAGTGCCCATGGTCTCCACACATTACAAACGTTGATGCTGGTGTAGTTCTGGCCTTTCAGTGCTGTTCCTCAGGGGACAGACACCCCTGCAGAAGCACACAGTGGTGGCAGTGGCCCTGGTGATGGCAGTAGATGATGGTGGTGGTCGCAGATCAGTCCCCATTCCTGTGGGCTTTCAGCTCCCTGGCTTGGCAGGCGCGTGGTGAGGAGGAGAGGGAGCTGGTCTCATTAGAGCTTTTTTGTGAAGCCCTGATTGAACTAATTGCTCTGCCTGTTGCCATGGTGCCACAGGGATGCAGAACGGGCAGGACAGGGACCGATGGTCCCTTTGGCCCCAGGGCATGGCAGCCGCTGCTTTGGCTCTTTTCAGTGGATGCTTTGAGCCATGAGCTGAGCCAGGAAGAACCCTTGCTGTGTCCCTAGCTGGGTGCTTTGTCTCCCCTTGGGTTTGGCTTAATCCCACGCCTCATGACTCTGGGAGAGCTGAAGCAGCAAAATGAGCTTCAGCATCTTTCCTCCTGTTCCCTGCTGCTCCTGGTCCACGGTGCATGATTCATTACCGGCACGTCAGCTGCCCGCATTGGAGGCTCTCCCTTGACAGATCCCTTCTTAATCTGGAGCTCAGCAAGCCGGCAGCACGCAGAGCCCAGGATCATGAAATGTAACATCAGGGGGCGCGGAATGCAGCTTCCTGACAGCAGAGCCTGCTGGTTCTGCCTCGGGGGCTCACTCCATCCCCACAAACACTCTGGTTTGTCTCTAGGCCAAACCCCTCCAGGGCACAGCCAGGAGTCCCCGGGGTGTGCTGCATCTTGTGTGGTATCCTCCAGGATGCTCCCTAGAGATGGGGATGGAGGTGGGTGGGTGCCCCTGTTACAAGTGGCTGCTCCACAGCACCCATGGCCCTGCAGAGCAAGTGACTTTTGTTCTCCTCTCCCTCTCCTGCAGCAGTAACTGCGACCTGGATTACGATCTCTGCAGGGATGACTTCCCATACCGGTGAGCATCCAGGAGAGAGATGTGCTGAGCACATGTGGCTTTGGTCCATGGGCATCCATCACCCTGCTTTCATGAGGTTTGGTGGTGTTTATCCCTAGGCTGGAGCCTTTGGGAAGTGAACACACGGGGCAAGAGCAGTGTGTGGGGTGGGCAATGCCCAGGTTATGGGTTCTTCACCACAGAGGGCCCCTGAGAGATGCTTTCTTGTCTGGCAGGGGCTGCTGCTCCTCCAAAGCTATACTTTTGTGCCCTTGCAGGGTGTATGAGTATCAGAAGATTCCTCCCCTTATTAACCGCATTCCAGTCAAGACCAGACGAACTCACATGGGAACAGGAGGAAAAAGCAGCCCAAGTCCACAGTGCAAGGCCAGGAGCAGCACCAGCTCCATGGTGGAACGGACAAAGTGTGAGTGTGATGGGACTGGGAGGAAGAGGAGGCTCAGCCCTCATGTTTCGGTGCATTAGAGCACTGCTGGTGCCCAGAGGTCCCACTCAGTGCTGCCCCTGTGAGTCCTCAGCTCCAGCAGACACAGGCTGGACTGCCCTGGGCTGGTGGTTGTCCTCTGGACCTGTCTCTGTTCCTCAAGGATGGAGCTGTTCCAAGGATGTTCCCCAGGGATGCTGGGTGGGGAGGGTGCTCTGGAGAGGAAGATGCTCCAGAGGTGGCTGCCGAGGGCTGTGTCCCCTCGTTCCAGGTGTGCTGCAGAATCAGGTGGGATCCTAACAGCTCCTTCCCCTGCAGTGCAGGCTGAAGAGCTGCATTCCATCAAGGGGGAGCTATGCCAGATCAAGGCACAGGTGGACAGTCTGCTGGAGAGCCTGGATCACATGGACCAGCGGAGAGAGTGGCTGGCAGGTGAGGGGACAGGCCACAGACCCTCCGGGACCCACGTGGCACATTCCTAGTGCCAGCCCCCTTCCCCAGGCTGGGACGACAGGGTCCAGCCCCTTGGCACAAGGGGACCCTATGAGGACAGGGTGGATGTTTGCACGGGTACCCCTAGTTTCTACTGTCTCTGTTCTTGCAGGGTCCAAGGAGAGTGAGAGGAAGAGGTTACAGACAGGGCCAGAGTCACCATCCCCAGTGGAAGAGCGGTCACAGGGACAGGAGGGGAGGGGAGCTGATGGGCACAGTGACCTGCGCAACATCGACAGCACAGAGGAGAGCACAGACACAGAGGAGATGGTGAGAGTGGGGACAGGTCACAGCCTGGTTTGGGTTGGAAGGGCCCTCAAAGCTCACCCAGTTCCAACCCTCTGCCACGGGCAGGGACACCTTCCACTAGACCAGGTTGCTCCAAGCCCCATCCAAGCTGGCCTTGAACACTGCCAGGGATGGGGCAGCCACAGCTTCTCTGGGCAACCTGTGCCAGGGCCTCAGCACCCTCACAGGGAAGAACTTCTGCCTAAGATCTCATCTCAGTCTCCCCTCTGTCAGGTTAAAGCCATTCCCCCTTGTCCTGTCCCTACAGGCCCTTGTCCTGCGCTGTGCTGTCTACTCTCCTAAAATTCATCCCTGCTTGCTGGCAGCCTGTGCCCTGGTGGAGAATACCTGGTTGCAGAGTTGATGCTCCATCAGGTTCCCCCAAGCTGTCCTGACTGTGTGCCAGGGTGCAACCACCCGTGTCTCCAGGACAGCCCCAAGCCCCCTGCAGCCACCCCCTCGGTGTGTGTTACTTCAGCCGCAGCAGCTGCAAAACCCCCTTTGGAGTACAAATCCCCTTTCTCCAGGCGTCTGCTCCCATACTCACATCCCCCAGCTGGCTGCAGGGGTCTGATCCCACTGCTGGCACACATCAAAGGGCAGCCATGCTCTGCATTTCTCCTTGCAGGTAAAAATTCACGTTGGACCATGAGAGGAGCCAGCAGGCACACTGGGATGCCGAGGCCTCCCTCCCTTTCCATCTTGTGTTCCTACTTCTTTTGAGGCTTCCAGCTCATGCCACACATGCCGGGGAGGTGCCTGCTCTGAGCACAGCCATGCCCTGCCACCAGCAGCTCCATCTCCCAGCCATGGCCAGAGGACTCTTTGTGTTCAAGTGTGCTTGGGTTTTCTTTTCCTCCTGTTTTCAGACCTAGGGATAAGACATGGCTGGGGTGGGAAGGGAGGAGAAAAAAGAAAAGAAGAAAACAACCTTATCCCAAAGGAGCATCCCAAATCCTGGCTGCTCTGCCTGCCAGCATCTCCTCACCCACAGGGTGCTGAAATTTGCAGAGAAAGCACCCCAGGGGTCCCAACCCCTACGGCACAGGTCACATCCAGCCTGCCCACCAAGGCAAGCCCACCCTGCAGATCCACACCAGGAAAAGGTTCAGCAGGCACAGCTACAGCCCAAGAAGGAGCCACTGCATCCCACTGTGGAATGGAGGAAGAAGGGACCACCCGCAGACCACTCAAGGGGCTTTTGTGGAATTTTAGGCTGGTGCTGAGCCCAACTCCAACACCAGCAGCAGGGCAACGCAAACCCAATTGCTCCCTGTTGCCCCTGCTCTCACATGGCTCTTGCCACGGGTCACATCTGTGGTCAGCAGCAGCAGGTCTGCCAGGGCTCCTTGCCTGCACCCAAGTCACAGTCCACCCCCTCCCTACGCTCCCCATCTCAGTATGGTGTCCCCAGTTCCTAGGTCACCCTTCTCTCACTGCTAGGAATTTGTTCTGTGTTTCTGATTTGCTCTGTCTGGTAAGAGTGTATCGTGTTGGAAAAAAAAAAGAATTTGTATTTCTTTTCTCTGGTTACTCGACTCCCATGAAGTTTCTAACTGTCTGAACCACATGTGTGGCTTTTTGTATCCAATCTGGGGTGGCTGCCTGACTCTGGAGGCTCTCTGGGATGCTGTCTTCCCCAGCTCAACCCAGAGGCAGGAGGAGCACAGCTCTGCCTGTTTCTCAATGGAAACCAGCACATTCCCCACCAGCCCAGTGCATCCACCCATTCCCACGAACAACCAGACCCCAAAGCAGTGACCCAAACACCCCCCCTTGAGGAAGGACATTGGGAGCAGAGCAGGGTGATCCCAAAGCCTGGCAGCTGGTCACGAGTGCATCCTTCCTCTGCCCACACTGGCAGAGGCCTCAGCAGAGCCATGCAGGCAGAAGACTCCTATAAGAACAAGCTTATTTATTCTAAGAAGAACCCAACAAAACACATCTTCACCACCCCCAAGCGCTGCAGGAGGTCCAAGGGATGTGCAGTCTGTGCCACCACATGGCTCCTGCCCCATGCTGCCTGCACCCTGCTTGTGTGGATGGTCATGGTGGAAGGTCTCAGCCCTGGTCCTGGGCCTGCTCCGGGATGAGTGCAAGGTCCTGTGGTGCAGGCAGCTGCTTGGAGGGAGGTGTCAGGCAGCGTCTGGCAGTGTGGGGCACCACAGAGGCTGGTTCTGGGGGTCTCCAGCAGTGTGTGGGGCTGTCTGTGTCCTGCAGAACCAGCTCTGTCTGGTCTCCTGCAACAAGCTCCAGTGTCCTTGGGCAAGACTCTTGAGCCTCTGGCTGTGTGGGAAGCTCTGAGAGGTCTCAGGCTGCTCAAGGGCCAGCTCAGGGTGTCTCTGGCAGCATGAGGTGTGGATCAGACAGGCACCAGGGATCTCTGGCAACCCCGAGGGCAGCTTGGATGGGCTCCGGCCGACAGCCCCATCCCCAGCGCGGGCCCCCGGGTGCTCAGGCAGTGCTGGCAGCGGTGGCACGGCGACGGCGGCGGCGGCCGCGGCGGCGGCCGGTGGCCTGCAGCAGGCTCTGCCGCAGCACCGGGTAGAGGCGGTAGCAAGCGTCGAGGCCGAAGCACAGCGCCTCTGCCCAGTCCTCGGGCGTGCTGCCGCTGCCGGTGCCCTGCACGGCCGATACCTGGTTGAGGGCCGGCAGCAGGGCCACGGTGAGCCGGACCGCGGCCCGCCGCTCCTCGGCCTCCTCTGGCTGCAGCACCCAGGAGGCGGAGGGATCGGGCCCGCGGCACAGGGCGCAGCCCACGGCCAGGTCGTACATCTGCACCCCGGAGTCAGCCAGCGCCAGCGCGCCGGCGCTGATGGCGGCGGCCAGCACGGAGCCTTCGTCCTGCAGGAGCAGCACGCTGACCAACAGCCGGGTCCGCGGGTACCGTTCGAGCTGCAACGCGGGCTCCAGCGCAGCCCGCAGCGCCGCCGCGAAGTCCCGCTCCGCGTCCCGCTCCACCGTCGAGCCCGGCCGCCGCCGAGCCCCACGGCCCGCGAACGGCGCCCGGCGGAAGTCGCACTGCAGCCGCCCCATTCTCAGCGCCGCCGCCGCCGCCGCCGCCGTGGGGGGCTCGGGCGCCTCCCTCGGGCCCCATGCGGCGCAGAGAATCTTCGTGCCGCCGCTCAGCTCCACGTAGGCCGAGCCGTCGGCCTGGCTCAGCACCGCGGCCCGAGCGAAAAGCGGCCGCAGGGCCCAGGGGTCCCGCGGGGATTCATCCCCACCTTCCTCCTCACCCTCCTCCGCCGCTACAGCCGCCCCGCAGACCGCAGCCCACAGCGCCGGCGCACGCGACTCCTCCGGGCCGCACAGGCGGCGGTGATCCACCGGCATGACCGCCAGGCAACGCGGGCAGCAGCAGGAAGAGGAGGAGCCCAGCCCGCTCCGCCCCCCCAAAGCAGACGGGAACCGGCAGCCCTCGGGCGCGTAGCGTTTATTGGGAGGAAACGTGGGCAGCAGGAAGGAGGGGGAGGGCATGGGGTGCTGAGGGGGGCCCGGGGAGCCTCCTCCCTGCTCAGTTCTTCTGCTCGCCCAGCCGAAGCCTGGCAAAGTCCGTGGCGAGCTGCAGGGCCTCCCGCAGGCACCCCACGTTCTTTCCCGTGGCCTGCGCAGAGACGTCCTTTCCCCCGCCTTTGCCGTCCATCAGGCCCGACACCTCCTGCACCCACTGGCTGGCCTTCAAGCCTTTATTTGCAGTCTCCTGTGCAGGAAAAGAGAAAGAAAAATGAAGGGAGTTAAACCTTAACCCCGCCAGCAGGGAGAGAAGGGCAACCGTGAGCACGATGCAGCAGGGAAAGGCTCTTCCACCTCCACAGCCCCCAAAAGCTTTGCCATGCCCACAGCCACATTAGGCCTGGCTCCTCCCCTCTCCAGATCGCACCTCCCCGTCTTCTGCAGCCTGGCAACAAACCGAAAGCACACGGGTTGTGGCTCTTGCCAAACCCACAAGAGTTTTGGCTGTGTAGCGTTAGACAGTGACAGCCTGGAGGCTGTGCATCCTCCACTGAGTAACAGGGAAGGCAGAGACAAGTGTCTCAGCGTTACCTGGGGCACTTGACAGAGGCAGGTGATTCTGCCAGCTTCATTATCTACAGTGAAGAGCATGGTGGCAGTCTGGGGGGAGTAAGTCTTGAAGAGCTTCAGAGATTCATTCAGGGCCTGTAGAACAAAATCACAGAATCCCAGCCTGGTTTGTGCTGGAAGGGACCTCAAATCTCATCCAGTTCCAACCCCTGCCACAGGCACAGACACCTTCCACTAGACCAGGTTGCTCCAAGCCCCTGTGTCCAACCTGGCCTTGAACACTGCCAGGGACCGGGTAGCCAAAGCTTCTCTGGGCACCCTGTGCCACGGCCTCACCACCCTCACAGAGAAGAGCTTCTGCCCAAGAGCTCATCTCAGTCTCCCCTCTGGCAGATTAAAGCCATTCCCCTTGTCCTGTCCCTACAGACCCTTGTCCCAAGTCCCTCTCCAGGTTTCTTGTAGTCCCTTTAGGCACTGGAGCTACCCTAAGGTCTTCCCTTAAGGAGCCTTCTCCACGCTGAACCAGCCCAGCTCTCTCAGCCTGGCTCCAGAACAGAGCTGCCCCAGCCCTCACAGCATCTCCGTGGCCTCCTCTGACTCACAATCCCTACAGCACACCTTCCCTGCACTCCCACCCTGGCTCCAGCCTCCATGGAGACCTCAGGGCTCTGGACTTGCATTTAACCAGCCAGCAGTGTCCTGCAGTGTTCCTTTTCTCCAACACAAGAGACCCTCACATCCCTGCTGGGCAGAAGCTGGGGCAGGAGACACAGCCAGGGCTTGTGGCCCCTCACTACTACAAGGAACTGTTTTCATTTTCCCATCTTCAGTTATCTGGGAGCTGGCGGAATTAATGCCAAGGCTGGAGGGAAAAACACTGTGTCCTGGAAAGTGGCTCCCAGAGGAGGGAGCAGCTGCTCTGCAGCAGGTCTGGAGGACTCAAATGCAGTGTGAAGAAGCTGCAAGGGTTGGTCAGCACAGCAGGCACACTGCAGAGCCCGGGGGGACCCATGCATCCCATTATCCATCCCAGGGAGAGCTAGCGCAGACAGACACGATGCTGCACCGAGCTTCAGGGCCGGGCCCTCCAAAGGCAAAGCAGTGCTGCTCTAGCTGGGGCTCACAGCACCACCGTCGATGGGATACACCCTTCTGCCAGGGAGAATGATGCACTGGAACCATAGAGGTGGGGATGGCTACAGAGAGCAAGGGCATGAAAACCAGAGTAGTCCAACCTCAGGGCACCATCAGCCTCTTCAGCAAGGAGGACAGAAGAAGCAATTTCAGCCCTCGCTGGAAAGAACTGGAGCTCTGCTGCAGCAGGCAATGCCCAGGAGGTGGGAGCACATGCTCAACCTAGGACACCACTCCCACAGCTGATGTGCAACAGCCACATCCAGCAGGACATCTGTGGCTTCGCAGAGCTTCAGCTCAGAGTTCCTTAAGCCCTCCTGTTACGTGTTGTAAGGGCTGTTGGATAAGCAAGGGCACAGTGCCGTTTCTATTGGGGTCCCTGCCCACCATCAGGTATGGAAGCTCAGCCAGTGGCCAAGAGTCCCC